TTAACATTTAAATAGTAATAAATTACTACTCATATATATGTTTTGAAAACTGTCTGAATTTTTAATTTTTTTTATAAAATTTTCATTTTTAATTTCTTTATATATCTTTCATTTATAATTCTATAAGCATATTTTTGGATAAAAGAAATTATTTATACTTTAAGTTTATGAAATAAATATCTTATATTAAGGTATTTATATATTTAAAATTTGTTTTTCTATTAAATTTTTTTAATAAATAAACTGACAAAGATTTAATCAAATATTTATTTCAAATTAGCCATATAAACATAAAGATTTATCAAAGTTTATTATTTTTAATCTTAAACTGAAAAATAGTATGTTGAAACTGTTTAGCTTTCTTACTTTAGTTTTATTTAAATATGTTATAATAAAATAATTTGCTTTTTTGAACTAATCTCATTATATTTAATAAAATATTTCATTATAAGGTTTTATATAAAACTTACTATATTATTTAAAAAAAGTCAAAGATAAATAAAATGTAAAGAATTCTTATTTTATAAATATTTATTTTAAAAGTAAATTTAGATTTACAATACAAATATATTTGATAAATAAAATGATATCTATAAAACCAATTTAAATCACAGATTTATTAGAAAATTAACTGTTAAATATGATTTTGAATTCTAAAAAATCTATTAATTAAAATCATTTTTTCATACGTTAATATAAAATTTATATAATATTTAACTTATAAAAATTTCAAATCTAAATAGAATATATTGATAGACACTTTGAATTTAATTTTAAAAAAATTATTACAGTTATTTTTTTAACAAAAACTTAACTGTTTTATAAAAATACTTTCTGTTTATTTAAAGAATATTAAACATGCAATTATTGACTAAAATTGTTAATTCTCATATTTTATGATGATTAACTAAATTAAATTTTAATTTAAAATAACATAGATATTAAATAATGTTTTTTTTATATTATAATTTTTTATAGTATAAATATCGTTAAATTTTTTTATTAAATATGATTAATGATTTAACAAATTAAAATAAAAATTATAATTTAAAAAGTAATTGTTATTTTATTTATTTTTATATATTTTTGATTTTATTTAAATAAATCATATCTTAATGATTCTAGTTTTAATCCTTTTTCGTAATTTCTAATTTTAAAATATTTTTTTGAGTGAAGAAAATAATCAAATTTATGATATTTAAATCCGTTAAATAATTTAAATTGTTGGTATTATTTAATGTGATCGACTTTGTTTAATATTATTTGATTTAAACTCAATGGTGAGTTAAATAAAATACTGAGCAGTGTAATTTTTTAAAATAATTACCAAAATCTTTAAATGAAAATTAACTTCTATTATTAATAGATTATTGATTTTACTGATTTCACATGTATTATCATTAAACTAAATTTTTAATTAACTTTACTTTTATCAAATATATTATACTTTTTATCATTTATCTTCAAATAAAATATCTTATTTTTCTTTTTATTAACTAATTCTTCATTCTTATTAATTACTACTGCTAACTTTGTTATATACTAATTATAGATTTTCATTTATATAAAATGATTTATTTTATCATCATTATTTTTATTTTTTGTATAATAAATTAAGAATTTTTTTTCTAATAATTTTGTAAAAGATACTTAATGATTTATTTAATTTAATAGAATTTTTTGAAATATGGTTGATTA